ATGATGGATGAGTGGATGAATAATTGGATGATGGATTAGTGGATGATGGATGAATAAGTGGATGATGGATGAGTGGATGATGAATGAATAAGTGGATGATGGATGAATAAGTGGATGATGGATGAGTGGATGATGGATGAATAAGTGGATTATGGATGAGTGCATGATGGATGAATAAATGGATGATGGATGAGTGGATGATGAATAAGTGGATGATGGATGAGTGGATGATGGATGTATAAGTGGATGATGGATGAATGAGTGGATGATGTTTGAGTGGATGATGGATGAGTGGATGATGGATGAATGACTAAATGATGGTTGAGTGGATGAATGGAAGAATGAGTGAATGATGGATTAGTGGAAGATGGATGAATGATGGATTAGTGGAAGATGGATGAATGATGGTTGATGGATGAATGAGTGGATGATGGATGAATCCTGTGCTATCCTATTTTATTGTATTCTAAGCCTTTTTTTTTTCTGCTATTCCGCCGCACTGGGAAGCCTCGCCCGCCGAAATGGGCCAGTCGACAACCAGAGGAACGGGTCGTAGCAGACGGCTTTCGCCGAGTCCTGCCAGCTCGGACTGGTTCTCCTCCTCCTCCTCTCTACTCATCCCCAACTGGTACGTGGCCACCTGAGGCGCGTAGGCAGGATGCAAATACTCATTAATTGATGCTGCTGCATCCATTCATCCATCAACCTGTCGGGCCAGGATTGGTAGACGGAGAGTCCACTCTCCGCCCGGGAGCTCTGCTCTTCGACCTGCTCCGGACTCTCCATGCAGACAAGTCCGTAGCTCTAGAAAGCCTCGCCCGGAGGAATGGGCCCCGGGCTCGTGGACGAGGGTGGGTACGTCGGCGCCTCAAAGGACAAAAGAGCCCTACCCAGTTGGCAACCAGACGGACTTCTCCGAGTCCTGGTGACGCAGAAGCGCCTGCAACCCAGGCTGGTTAGGTGATCTCCTCCTCTACCCTCATCATCAACTGGTATGTGGCCGCCTGAGGGGCTTAGGCGAGATGCAAATACTGAAGGAATTGCTGCTGCTGCTGCATCCATTCATCCATTTATCCATCATATATTCATACACCAACCAGTCGGGCCAGAATTGGCAGACAGAGGGTCTCTGTTAGTCAGGCTGCCTGGACTCGTCCACCTCCTCCGGACTCTCCATGCAGACAAGTCCGCAGGGAAGCCTGGGCCGGTGAAATGGGCCCCAGGCTCTAGGAGGGCGGTGGGCCCGTAGCCGGCTCCAACGACAGAAGAGCCGACAACCAGACGGACGGGTCATAGCAGACGGCATTCTCCGAGTCCTGGTGACGCAGCGGAAGAGCCTCAGGCTCGGACTGGTTAGGTGATATACTCGGCCTCCTGTCCCTTCACCGCAAACTGGTACATGGCCACCTGAGGCGGGTGAGCAGGATGCAAATACTGCTCCTGCTGCATCCATCCATTCACTTATCCGTCAACCAGTCGGGCCAGGCCCAGCAGACGGACGGTCTCCCCTCTGCCTAGGAGCTCGACACATCGGGCAGCCTAGGATCCTCCACCTACTCTAGATTCTCCATGCAGACGAGTCTGCCGCTCTAGGAGGCCTAGGCCGGCGAAATGGGCCCCAGGCTCCAGCACGCTGGTGGGCTCGTCGGCGGCTTCAAAGACAGAAGAGCCCCACCCAGACGTCAAACATACCGACAAGTCGTAGCAGAAGGCCTTCTCCGAGTTCTGGTGAGGCAGCAGAAGAGCCTCCAGTTCGGATTTGCTCTCGGTGTGCTCCTCCTCCACCTCTCCCTTCAACGTCAACTGGTACGTGGTCACATGAGATGCGTAGGCGGGATGCAAATACTGCTTCTGCTGCATCCATCCATTCATTTATCCGTCAACCAGTCGGGCCAGGCCCAGCAGACGGACGGTCTACCCTCTGCCTAGGAGCTCGACACATCGGGCAGCCTAGGATCCTCCACCTACTCTAGATTCTCCATGTAGACGAGTCTGCCGCTCTAGGAGGCCTCGGCCGGCTAAATGGGCACCAGGCTCCAGCACGCTGGTGGGCCAGTCGGCGGCCCAGGGACAGAAGAGCCTCACCCAGACGCCAACCAGACCGACAAGCCGTAGCAGACGGCCTTCTCCGAGTTCTGGTGAAGCAGCCGAAGAGCCTCAGGCTCGGACTGGTTAGGTGTTCTCCTCCTCCTCCTCTCCCTT